ACATCTCCATGCTGGAACGGGAACACAGGGATCACGTGAGGAAACCCAGATACAGCATCCTGGAGAAGGACATCTCCATGCTGGAACGGGAACACAGGGATCACATGAGGAAACCCAAAAACATCATCCCGGAGAAGGACATCTCCATGCTGGAACGGGAACACAGGGATCATTTGAGGAAACCCAAATACAGCATCCTGGAGAAGGACATCTCCATGCTGGAACGGGAACACAGGGATCACGTGAGAAAACCCAGCTAGCTCATTCTAGGGAAGTACATCTCCATGCTGGAAAACAGGGATCATGTGAGAAAATCCAGCTAGACTGTCCTGGAGAAGTACATCTCCATGCTGGGACAGGAAAACAGGGATCATGTGGGAAAACCCAACTAGATTGTCCTGGGGGAAATACATCTCCATGCTGGGACAGGAAAACAGGGATCAGGTGGGAAAACCTAACTGGAGTCGTCCTGGGGGAAGTACATCTCCATGCTGGGATAGGAAAACAGGGATCATTTGAGAAAATCCAACTAGATTGTCCTGGGAGAATCTCCATGCCAGGACAGGAAAACAGGGATCACGTGGGAAAACCTAATTGGAGTCATCCTGGGGGAAGTACATCTCCATGCAGGAAAACAGGGATCATGTGAGAAAACCCAACTAGATCATTCTGGAGAAGTACATCTCCATGCTGGAAAACAGGGATCAAGTGAGAAAATCCAACTAGATTGTTCTGGAGAAGTACATCTCCATGCTGGAAAACAGGGATCATGTGAGAAAATCCAACTAGATTGTTCTGGGGGAAATACATCTCATGCTGGAACGTGAAAACAGGGATCAGGTGGGAAAACCTAATTGGAGTCATCCTGAGGGGAGTACATCTCCATGCTGGGACAGGATAACAGGGATCATTTGAGAAAATCCAACTAGACTGTCCTGGGGGAAATACATCTCCATGCTGGAAAACAGGGATCAAATGAGAAAACCCAAGTAGATCATTCTGGAGAAGTACATCTCCATGCTGGGAGAGGAAAACAGGGATCACGTGGGAAAACCCAACCAAAAACCCAAGGGACGAGAAGGGTAAGTTTAAAGAAAAAAAAAAAAAGAACAGCCACCAAGATCAAAGAGAGAAGAGAAAATTAGAGAGGAGGAGACACGTTCTATATTTATGCACAAACATGCACTTGGAAAGTATAATTTGCAGCTTTATAAACACATTTTACGTGCGCTCTGTAATTTCAACAAAATGTCAGCGGAGAACAAAGTAATCTGAAAAATGTGTCTTTAAAATGCATTTCCTTCTAATTATACTCAGAACACGGTGGCTTGAGCCTGCTCGATATAAAGTCTAGTCAATCCACCGAAATGGCTTAATTAATAAATGACTTCAATAATTAAGAGGCTCTCCAGTAGAGAGGAAATGTGAACCATCCAAGAGCAGGAGGTCCCTGGGGAGCTGACAGGCACTAAGAACCCAGAAGCAGGAGCTGCTGAAACACCAGGCTGGTGTCAGAGAATGTAGACTAAATACATTCTCAGGAATTTTGTTATGAAGAAGCAAAAAAGAAATCAAAATAATCCAAATTACACTGCTAGGTAACACTGTTACAGTCACTGAAGAGGCTGGGAGAGAAGCAGAGCTGAAGAATATCAGAGGACAAGTTTATTCACTCAAACAGATTTTTTTATGAAGCACAAAACCCCCTTTATTTTTTAAATCTATAAACCTAACATGTAGTTTAATGTTGGTCCCTATAAATTAACTGAAAAACCTCAAAAATTAAATAATTTTGACAACCTCTCTGAACACAGGGAAAAGGAACATATGGTTCTTCCCAGGTTTTTAAGAGTATATTCATATCAGCAAACGTGGCACTGTCATGGAAAAGAGCATCTTGGAGTAAATGAACATCCCAGAATCCAGCTGGGGAACCAGTTCAGGCAGTCCCTGAGCACAGGGAACATTCATGGAGCTGATAAGGGCACTCAACATCAAAGCAC